TTGGGGTTCCCATATGCAGGGCCAGATAGCTCAGGACCTTGGTCCAGGTCAGAGCAGGCCCTTCCCATAAATTGGCTAGAACTCAGAGCCATTTTTCTAGCTCTCAAGCATTTCAGGCACTCAGTGACCAGCTCTCATGTTCTAGTCCTTATGGACAACATGGCCGCCATGTCTCATGTCAACCGGCAAGGGGGGATGAGGTTCAGAGCCCTCATGGGAGAGGCTCTACGGTTGGGGTTATGGGCAGAGAAACACCTGTTGTCGATCTCGGCGGATCACTTCTCCGGGATCAACAACTCCCAGGCCGACTGGCTCAGCAGGAGCCTAGTCGACCAGGCAGGATGGTCCATTCCTCCATCTCTATTCAGGTACCTTTCCCTCAGATTTGGAACGCCGGAGGTGGATCTCTTCTCCACTCCTCAAATCGCCCAGGTCACCAGATTCTTCACCAGGTTTCCTTGCCAGGGAGTGGAGGGGACCAATGCCCTTCGGTGCAGATGGCCCAAAAGTCTCCTCTATGACTTTCCCCAGCTCCCCATCATTCCGGCAGTAATTCGGAAGATGTTGGAGGAACGAACGGAGCTCCTCCTCCTGGCACCCTATTGGCCAAGGATGCCCTGGTTTGCGGACCTGGTCAACCTATCGGTGGCTTCTTCTTGGAGGATCCCAGCCCATCTAATCTCCCTTCATCAGGGGATTCTGCTCCACCCGGAGCCCCAGTGGCTCAAGCTGACCGTGTGGCACTTGAGCAGCAGCGGCTAGAGGTGGCTGATCTTCCTGAAAGGGTCATCATCACTATCCTGGCATCTCGCAAACCTTCCACAAGGTGCATCTATGCTGCCACCTGGAAGGCCCTTTCCCGATGGTGCCTTAGGGAGGGTCTCTCTCTCTCCTGCTTTAGCCCAGTTGGCAGAGGGTCTTAGATTCCTTCAGCATGATCTGGAGAAAGGTTTGGCCCCCAACACCTTACGCAGGCAGGTTGAGGCCCTCTCCTTGGTTCTTTCATGGGGTTCGCTTCCTTCCTTATCCCATCACCCTTCAGTCAGGAGGTTTTTGAAAGGGGCTTCCAACCTGCACCCACTGGTGGTTCACAGGTATCCTTCCTGGGATCTTCATGTGGTCCTTAATGCCCTTACAAAGCCCCCTTTTGAACCTCTTAGAACACTGTCTCTCCGTTTCCTGACTCTGAAGGTAGTGTTCCCCATTTCCATCACTTCAGTCAGGCGGGTATCCAAGCTCGCTGCTCTTTCCATCAGACAGGACCTTTGTTCCTTTCATGATGATAGGGTTGTCTTCAGTCTGGACCCCTCATTTATTCCAAGGGTTAACACCTGTTTCACAGGTCCCAGGACATTATGTTGCCTGGCTTCTGCCCCCTCTCGCAGCATGACTTAGAGCAGCAGTGGCACACGCTAGACATAGGTAGGGCTCTTAGAATATACATTAAGTGCACTTCCTCCTTCAGGAAGTCTGAAGCCATTTTGTTTCCTTTTCCCTTCTCACTTGGGGCACAAGGCCTTCTCCTACTATTAGCAGGTGGGTCAGATCTTGCATTGAGCAGGCCTACAAAGCTGCGGCCCTTCCAGTTCCTCGAGGTCTGACGGCGCACTCTACCAGAAACGCGGCCACTTCTGCTGCCTGGGCGACCCAAGCATCCTTGGAGGAGATCTGTCGTGCGCCCACGTGGACATCTCCGTCTCCTTTCATCAGATTCTACCGTCTGGATGTCTTTGCCTCGGCAACTGCAACCTTCGGCAGATGGGTGCTTCAACGAGTGGTTCAACAGTCAGTGTGATGAGCCGGACGAGGACCCGCCCATGGACATGCAAGCTTTGGTATGTCCCATCCTGGGCTCTCGATGCACCACGGAGGAGAATGGGCATTGGTAGAAGTTACCCTGAACGCCCTTTCTATCTATGCTGTGAGAGAGCCCAGCCCCTCCCTTGATTTGTCCGGAGAGGGTAAGTCATATTTCTGTATTCATTTGTGCTTTCAGAGACACCTTTCAGTCTGTCAAGTATCTTTGCCAAAGCTGGGGTCTCTTCCGGGGGCTGGCTTTTATATCTTAGTACAGATTCAGCTAAATGATGTCATAGGAAGGAGTCAACCCATCCTGGGCTCTCTCGCAGCATAGATAGAAAGGGTGTTCAGGGTAACTTCTACTAATGCCCACTCTATTCTGATGCCTAAGCCTTGTCAGTACCAAAATGCATATTCCATGTTTCTTTTCATGAGTCAGCTTAATACTTTGTTGTTATTATTAGTCACTGAATCAGTATAATATTTTTATTCATGAATACCTTAGAGAAAGCTATTTGTTTCTAATTACTCAGATAATTATACCTGCAACATAAATTCTAATTTAATAGATAATGGATATAAACTGTTGGTTTATTTCTAACTTTCGTGCTTCACAAGGAGACAAAGCTACAGAAATTTCACTATAAGTACAGATATTCATATTTCAGATGGATCAGTGTTATTGCACTGTGCATCCATAAAGTAATAAAAAAACAAGGTAAAGGCCTTTGGATACATGAAAACTTTCATTGCAAATAACAAGGTCTGAACTGTACGCACAAAACTGTATATAATAAATCATGGATAACAAGGGCCATGTCAAAACTAGAAAATTGCTAAACCAACATACCTAAGCCAAAGCAAAAGGGACCTACTTTAAAACAGAAAAATCGTTCACCATTTTATTTTCATAATTTGATTTAACAAAACATCTTTTAGAAAGTGGTCATATAGAATCAAAGAGGAAAAATATAGCCGGTCTTCTATTAATCTTAAAACAAGTTACTAAGCAACTATGTTTCCTGTGCATTAAAACTCCCAGAGAGGAAGGATTTCATGGTCTCCTCGGCCATTACAATTATAATTAGACATTTTTCTATCCAATATTCAATAGGCTAATCCCACTGTTCTTGTTAATTTTCAGCGGATCAAATAAAAAATTGTTCATTGTTTTATTTATGTTTGAATATTCTGAGACTTCATATAAGTTCTTAATCTTCTACTTTTGTATCTTGAATTACTGACCTTTTAAAAAATATTTCTGCAAACTACTACAAATGCAGTACCAGCATTCTGATTTAAAAGCAATATGTAACTCAGGATACAAGAAAGGGCATTCATTTACAGATATAGATACTACAACTCAGCTTGAAATTTTTATCATAATTCATTGTGGCACCATGTGATCTGCAATTTTACAACAATTTTTATGATGGTCATCAAGCAAGACACCATGATCATTAAATAAATCATGTGGTCATTAAGCAAAACACATGGTGGTTAAACAAATCCAGCATAACTAATGTGATGGGGGGGGCATTTTCTGATAGTAAATGATAAAAACATAACAAACCATGGACAAGTGACTACAGAACACTGCAACTAATCATAAATGTGAGCAGCTGCCAAATTTATTTATTTTTATTTGTTAAATTTATTTACTGCCTATCTTGCCATGGGGCTGTTCTAGGCGATTTACAATAATGCTTGAACTGAGATCAGTGTGTGTGTATGTGTGTGTGTGTGTGTGTGTGTGTGTGTGTGCAAAGACCTACTATACAGCACTGTGCACTTTTATTCTGATTTTTATTCCATTTTATTCAATCCAATTAAATTTTGTTTTTAAGATGATATCATTAGAGAATCTTTTTTTTTCTTTAGCCAAGAGCTCAAGGTTGTTAAACTTACTAAGATCAGACTAAAATCTGATATGATACTCAAATATAGTTACAGAATAATTAGTGTCTTATTATTTATCAAGTTGTAATTCCAGGAAAGAAAACCATATTTGAAGATACCCCTTACAATTGGTTTTTGGCCCTTAAAATAGCTGTCTTAACTTCACCTACCAAGAACCAAATATATGCACTTTTCTCCACTGATTTAACTTTACATTCTCACAACCTTGTTAGTTTCCTCACCAAAATATATATAATTATATTTATTTTACTAAAAATATTCTTTTCCCTGTAATACCCACAAATTGCCTTCTCTATGCAAAAAGAAAAATATAATGTGTTCCTTTTGGCATGCAAATGTGACATATGTTTGTCACCTCAAAACCTCAACTTCAACAAGACCAAGGGAAAAGATATATTACTTTTTATTTTTTTAAATTTTGTAAAATAAGTAAAAAAATGGAATAGAATCTCTTTTCTAAAAGTGGATATACTGAACCCATAAATACTACAGTATAAATACCCTATATGTTAGGCAAGCATCTAATAGAAAACCCCCCAAAATACTTAAATAGCTACACTAAACTAACAAAACCTTTTATAGGTTGACCTCAACCTACGACAATTGGGATCATAATTTCTATCATAACTTGCTATCATGAAGTAAGACATCACATGACGGGACTGACTTATAGCAATAGCACTTAGACTTATATACCGCTTTATAGTGCTTTACAGACCTCTCAAAGCAGTTTACAGAGTCAGCATATTGCCCCCAACAATTTGGGTCCTTATTTTACCCACCTCGGAAGGATGGAAGGCTGAAAGTGTCTGAAAGCAGACACTTCTCATTGAAATTGTTAACCAAGAATTGTGGGTCCTCTCCAAATCCAAGCCATTCTGGGCTTCATACCTCCCATCCCTAAACCTCAGTAAGGTATAAAAGACTGCCTCCAACTGCCTTCACTTGCCTATCTGTCCCACCCATCTATGTTCTTTGGGCTGCCCTGCACTGCGCCTTGTATGACAGCAAGCAGTCCCAGAAATACATGGCTCAACCAGCTGTTTTGTCTCCTAGTTGCTATGTTTAAAAAGGAGGCATCCAAGTAGCAAAATACTTCCCAAAGACAACACAGCTTTAGTCACTGTCTTTTCAGCCCCACTGTAACTGTGAACAATCACTGAACAAGTCATAAGTTGAGAACTACCTATTATTCAATTGTCCCTATCTGATGAAAATTATCAATTATTAGTAATAACTAATGTTGTGGATTCACTTTGCTTCTCTATAAAAAAAGTTACCTGTCATTTATGATCCAATTCAGACACAGATTGAGAGAGGTAAGGTTTCTGCATTTCTTTACTATCTCCATTACAGTTTCATTATCCAGTTCTGTGATATGACGTAAGTCCAAGCTGGAAAGGTTTCTTAGCTATTAAGATAAATAAAACAGAAAGTAAAATATAAGCATACTTAATTATTCATATACTTATATGCAATGTTCTGCCTTCCATTGTATTTTTATCTTTTTTTTTAAGAATAATTCCAAGTTCAAAAAATTTCATTCCAACTGAAGATAAAATTATTTTGTACTTGTAAACAATTCCAAAGTTCTTGTCTATTGATTATTATGGTTGAATTAATATAAAATATTTATTAATGTAAACATTAACAGTATAACAATCACTAGTTATATAACATCTTGATTTTTTAAAACAATATTTTTTTCAGTATCTCATCTCTCAAGGATGAACGTTTCCTCAAGTCTGTGGAAAATCTCTGATACAGCATGGATTTTCAATGGGAGGAAATGTCAAACTTCTAATGATAAATTAGAGGTAATAGAAATTAGAATTAAAATTGCTGAGAAAAACATCAGCAACCTCAGTTATGCTGATGATGCACTTTAGTATCTGAAAGCAGAGAGGAATTAAGGAAATTCTTGTTGAAGGCAAAAGAAGAGTCAAAAGCCAATCTGCTATTCTAATTTTAAAAAAAAAACACTATGATTTTGTAAAGTCAAGGTCAGTTTTCCCACTTGCAGTGTAAAAAGGCTAGATGATCAAAAAGGATGAATTAAGAAAAACTGATGTCTTTGAACTGTGATGATAATAATGAATCTAAATATCAGATATTTTGGACATACAACGTGAAGCAAAAAATTACTAGAGAAGATCTTGGTGCTTGGAAAAATGGATAAATATCAAAAAGGTGGCCAAGAGAAAACAATAAAGCTACATAGCATATGGGGCCTGGCTACCTACAGAACTATCTTCATCCTATTACATCGACCCATTCCACCCAATCAGGCAGTGAAAGTATGTCATAGATACCATCAGTTACAGACTTTTGTTTGGCAGGATCTAGGAAGAAAACCTTCTCTGCCATCATCAGTGCCTGTGGAATATTCTCTCTCTGGAGGTGAAATAGGCCTCAATTCCCATGGCCATCTAAAAAGGAGTTAAACATGGCTCTACAGCCTTCTGTGGGAAGTCAAGAAAGGTAATGCGGCCATGGCGCTCATTGGTGCCCTGAACTTTTGCCCTTTGCATTTTGATTAACTTTTAACGTGGTTCAATCAACTTTGGCTCCTTTTAAATTCTAAATTTTTCAATTCTTGTATGCTGTTTTTATATATTTAACATTTTATATTTATATTTATGTGTATTTATTTACATTTATATTTTAACGCTGTCCTGTCTGATAGAGTAGGGCAGTTCAAAAATGTGAAAAATAAATAAAATAGATACTAATATTTATAAACATAAATCTATAAAAAAAAATAAAAGGCAGCTATTGACATATTGTCTTGGTGAAATGATGTCCTTTTAAATATCTGAACTAAATAAATATATAATCAAATTAGGCGTGAAGAATATAATACAACAGAGATTTTCCCAGAACAATGAAGCACTTCCATTGGTTTTAAAATACATTAAAGTCATTTAAGTTTTGGTGAATAGAAATGAATTTGAAAGCTACTATGTTTAATCGTGCTTTCAAAGACCACTAAGGACTCGCAGTTCAGCTCTGAGCTACCTATTGGAACCATGTTTAATTTATAAATTGTTTCAACTCTTAATTGTCTATGCTTATTACTAGAATATAAAAATTTTACCACTTTTATAAGAGATGAACACTTCAATTCTTGTAAATGATGCTCTGCCTTTGAATTAGCTTTGCCTACTTTTCACTTACAACCTTGTCCATATAATTTAAATTCTATCTAAGACCTTCAGGTTTTTTTAAAATAATCTTTATTACACGTTTTTCAAACATTTACACCACATTTCCATTTCTGACAGTGCTTTAGAGTAGGCAGGCTTCTTTCTTATTTACATAGTAATACTTTCATTTTCATTTTCAATTCCTGGTATATTTCTCTAATATTTTTACATTTATATTTACCTTTTTATAATTCCTTATATATACATTTTCTGCAACTCTTAAGTAATTTTTATACATATTCCTTACTTTTCTCCTCTAGCTACTCCTATCATATTATAAGATACGTCAATCTTATAATATTCTGTTTCCTCCTTGCTAAGACCTTTAGTTTTATTCAGATTGCCTACTAATGCTATAGTCAGTATTCATGTTTCAAAGTCACATTATTAGCAAAAACCAAATAATTAGTTCATGGAAACAAGTAAAAATGAAGCTAAACACCAAGATTACAATTGCTCATTTGGCCCCATAAAATTAAAACATTGCAGTAGCTTAAAAGGTAATATAATGATGTAATACAACACATTATTATTCTAAATAATTTTATACTACGCTTTCCTTGTCATAGTTGCTGGAATTTGAAACAGGGGAGTTCTAATCTTAAATTTTGACCAGGCTGAACATGAACTGAAAGATGTTTATTTTTAGCAAGATATAGGATACTTCTAATCCTAGATAGCTTGATTTTTCTTACCTTCCACTTATAAATGATTACAGATAAGGGCTAACCTTTGTTCATGTAGCAGCAACCTACAGCTTTGCCAGTTTGGTTCTCTCCCTTCTTCTCTCATCCACTCTCTTCTATTCATACACAGTGTTCTGCTCTTCCTGGATTGGACTACCTCTCCCTGTTGACTGACATGACACTGCTAGAGCCAACCCTTCACCCAATGCCACCCTCTGTTCCTCATAGAAACAGCTGATTAGAAATTCATTCTTTTTCTGTTAACTTGTTATTGTTTGGTTTGAGGCACTATGAGTGAGGGTAAGAGAGATCTTTGAGCCCTCCTGTTGCAAAAATAGTCAGAAGCATGTAGGAAAAAATGCAGTTATAGAATAAAGCCAACATTATGATGAAATTATAATATTAAATAAAGTACTAACACTGCCTTTTCTGATATAATAGAAACTACATAACAGATTGTTAGGAATGATAGTCATCTAACAGTTGGGTTGGCAATATATAAAACAGGATAGTCATTTAATACTGTTGTATCTTTAAGAGAATGTTGTAATTGTGATTGGCTGAGGTTCCTCCAACGGCCATAAGATGGAGCCAGAAACCTGGTTTGTTCTTTTTTGCATTTCCTTTGCTTTCCTTTTGCCTTTTGCCTGATCATCATTCTGCTTGAATTACTGTGAGTCTTACAACTATTCGAAAACTCCGTTGACTGAACTTTGTTTATGATACTGGTAAGAAAAGGACTTCATTTTTTGATTATCCCTTGGCTGATTATTTTGAATACTAACTGCTTTAATCGTGTATGATTTGGACTGTTTGTTGGAGTTTGTTTATTCATTTACAGGAAGTAAAATTTACATTTTACTATTCAGTGTATCTGTGTGCTGGTTGTGTGTTATTCATCACCACTCTCACTATGTTTCCCTGAGTGCATATTTCTCCTAACAGGAAATATCTTAACACTGGTTATGGGCCCAGACTCAGATAACTGAGAGTTAATGTGAATACACAGCTGTCTACTGTTTAATCGTGAGTTACTGTCCTGGTACAGATGGCACAAGACTCGTCAACAAGTCTATCACTGATAACCTGGTTGGATGGAACGAACTATGTTTCCTGGTCTATGAAGTGCAGTCTACTTCTGCATAGGGAAGGGTTATGGGCTGCAGTTCAGGATCCACCAGATGTAAATGCTTGGGATCCAGATGAAGAGGATGATGCCAAAAAGTTAGTTGACTTTAAATGGAACAATGAACGAGCTCTTTGTATAATTGGACTAACACTGAGTGACCAGCAGCTAGTCCATATTCGTGGAGAAGAGTTTGCTGCTAGGTGTTGGGAGAATTTGAAGAGGATTTATGTTCGTGACAGTGTAGGTGCACACATACAACTTACACATAAACTGTTTAAAGCATGTCTTCTGAAAGGTGGAGATATGTTAGCTCATTTGAACTTCATGAAAAGAACTTTTCAAGAGCTATATGAAAAGGAACTGATTTTTTCAGAGCTGCATCAGGTTTACATCATTCTTTCCTCGTTGGATGAAAGTTATGATGATGATTACGTATTTTCACTGGAAGTCCTGACCAGAAATGAAGTGACATTGACTGACATAACCAGACAATTGTTAGAAGAGGCAAGAAGAAGGCAGGATAGAAACCAACTGAGAAAGAAACAACTACAAGAAGAGGATTTGTTTTCAACTGCCTATACTGTTAGGAAATGTTTTTCCTGTGGGGCTAGGGGACATATAGCTAGATTCTATAAGAAGGACAAATGACAGAATACTGGTAATCAACAGAAGGCTAAGAAGAATGCTAATTTAGCTATGTCTAGCAATTCAACTGTAAACCATGATTTGTGGGTAGTTGATAGTGGAGCATCGCAGTGCATTACTAGAAATAGAGACAGGTTTATAAAGATGTCCACGAGTAAGCAACATGTATCACTGGCAAATGGATGGAAGATGAAAGCATCTGGTGAAGGTACTACATATTGTTCATGTGTAAATGAGCATTTATCTATGTTATATGTACCTAAACTGAAATTTAATTTGTTATCAGTAAGGGCTTTAGTTAATATTGGTTATGCAGTAACCTTTAGAGGAGATAACTGTATAATAGAGAAAGAGGGTAAAAGTGTTACTGCTACTTTAGAGAATGATTTATATGTGATACATGATGACCAGT